TGAGAAGAAAAGACTTTTAAGGTCTATGGTGAGAATCTCGGCAGTAGAGAAGGTCTATGGTGGAAATCTCGTATTTTTCAGTATTAGACCATACACCTTCTCTGGAACAACACTCTCTCTATCTTTTTTGAGAGATGTGTTGCTTCCAAGATCTTGAATATCCACTTTGGATATTAAAGATCTATCAAACGCAACGCCAACTGCTCAGCCAAGCAGAATCTGCTGAAGCTGAAAACAGTCAAGGCGGAAGAAATCACAAAATCTCAAGACAAAAACTTGGTTTAGGAATTATTGTAATTTGAATTGTATTTGTTTAAGAGTTTTTGTTAACAAGCTGTATGTTATGAGAAACTAAAAGAAAGTTACAAAATTAGTTCTCAGTACAGCGACCGGAACTCTTAAACACTTGTTTGTCATCATCAAAAAGGGGGAAATTGTTGGGAAAAATATTATAGATTTTGATGATGATTTATGTAATAGGGACTTTAGGTCTCCCCCAATATTCAATGTAATTTTTCTTTTTAGAAATATTGTTAAAACCAAGTTCTTGAGTTTTCCAATAAAACTGTGATATTTCTTTAAGCGTTTTGATGCCTGAAGACTTGATCAAATTCAGTGATATGAAAATTGGATATCTTGATCGGAAGTGTCAGAAACAAGTAAGGATTTCTCAATCAGATAAAAATCCTCAGATCCGGAAAGACTACATAAGAACTGGATGTCTCGCTACAACCCGTTGAAGGCTAAGTCATTCAAATCGGAAGACTAGCGCGGATTTCCCTCTCACCCGGAAGTAAGACTCATCCGGATTTGTCAGCTAAGAATCGGAAGACTAACCAAAGACCAGAATTCTCAGAAAGCGGACAAGTGAGAAAAAGCTTAGAAAATCATCTAAGTCCTGAATGAAGAAATTCTACCCGTGGTAAGGAAAAATCAATCTCTTGATTTTCAACGGCTAGAATGAAGATAATTAGGCTGATTCAAGAACAAATTACTCAAAGACAAAGTCTGGGTCTCTAAAATTAAAGAGCCTGCCCGGAATTCCTAAACAAGCACTAGAAGACAAACAGAGTAAAGTGCTACAGTCTTGAATTCTTGAACAAAAGCTAGAAGACGGATTTTGTGGAAAAAGGAATCCTTTCTCAACAATTGAGTAAATCCAAACACCCACTTCAACGAAGAATTTTCAAATCACAATCTTCATTCAAAATTGAAGCCAGCAAATGCAACGGATAGTCCATTATGATTCAACGGATAGATTATCCAATCCAGCTATAAATAGCATCCTTGGAAGACTGAAGAGAATATGATGAGATACGTTGATACAACAACACAGCGAAGCAATCACTAAAGCTATCTCATTCACAGTTAGCCCAAAAAGCTTGATAAAGAGAGATTTCTAAACTCCTTATCCAGAAGCAAACTTCTCCTCCTTCCAAAAAGCTATAGTGTAAACACTTGAAGGTTTCCTTGCCTCAAGCACCACACCACGTTGAAGGATATTACTTTTGATCAAACTTATTGATTAGAAGGGGGTAGGTCAACTCTCTTACAAGTTGATCTTGCAAGTCCTATTGTTCGGATCTTGCAGTTGTTGAAGAAGCTTGACCTTCGAAGGACCAACAAAGCTAGCACGAGTGCAGTAGCAACATTGGTCTTGTGAAGATATACCGTGCAGAAATTCACACAAGTGTAACTGTTGGTTCATTATTCAACAACCAACTACATAGTGGATTTTGAGGACGTAGAAGGATTACCCCACCTTCGAACCTCGTTAAAGTTTGCGTGTCTCTCTCTCTTATCTTTATTCTTACTTGCA